ATAAAAGAAAGTAATAAAAAAATCACACTAGGAAAAACCTTAACTTTACAAAATTCACTTTGCATAATAAGCATGTCGGTTAGTTAAATGAGTGAGATACATTTTAGTTAATACAAATAAGCTTCTATCAGTAAAAAATAAACGAATTAATAACTATTTAGATTATTATCTATGTAATGTGGCGTAACATCATCAACACTAAGTTGGAAAGTCATGCGATGTCATACAGAAACATGAGCTTATTTTTAAACAATGCAATCCCACGCACCTACATATATTTAAATAGACCTTTTGCATATTACATTAATCTGTCACTACTATTAGCATAAAGTATCTGCATAATGTTTGCCAGTAGTAATTTTTTTCATCGGATATTTATAATTCAACCTTCGAATAGAGATCAAATAAAACATACTTTAACCGTTAAACCTACAAGCCTTAAAGCATTAAATTAGAATAACCTATAAAAAAACAAAAGTTAAACTATTAACTTATTAAGACAAAAAATTAAAAAAAAGGGTTAACTGAAAGTGAAATCTCAAATAATAACATTAAAAAAACCTAAAAACCAACGGTTTTCAAGTCAAAAGGTGAAATGTGTAAATATATAAACATATAACTTGTTTTGATTGAGGACCATTCTTACGAGCTTTTAGATAATATTTTGTACTTACATCGTCAGCTCTAAATCTGGAAAACATCATTTAAGGCTGAAGATAAACTCCACTCTAGACTTTAGGTCTGCATAACATTGCCATTATCATTAAAATTAGGTAGTAGGTATATTTAAATCTTGTACCTAGATTCTATCGAGCCGTAATGTATTCCTTTTAAATTGACAAAATATGTTAAATATGACATTAATATTAAATTTAGCTCGTGGCAAATGTGTAAAATGAGGCTAGATACGAAACTGTCATTATTATGGACGTTTAAAAACGTAGTGAATTTGGTATGTTAATGGTTATGATAGACCCCACATCAATGTTCCGTCTCGGTGCGTATTCATGAAGATGAAAGTTTACTAGAATGTTTATAATCTAAAGCACATAATTTCATGTTTTATTGATGTTAAGATTTTTATTACACACATTAACAGGTGTTATGAAATTATAGACTTTGTAAAACGAATTAGCGTAATAGTTAATTATTAGTTTAGTATGTGATCTTTACAATATCAATATTAGTTTTTCATATCGAATAGCTTTTTATCGGCGGTCAGTGACAAAGTATTAGGCGTAGGTGGTTTAGCAGAGGCCAATTCGGTTGAAGTTATTAGTTATTGGTTGGGTCCTATATAAAATAAACAAAGAGCTTAGGATTTAGGGTGATGACCTTGCATTATTATGTGTGTGGTGGGGTTTTCACATTGAGTTATGATATCCATCCATTTTTCTGTATACCTAATACAAATAGGGAAAAGAAACTTTTTGCTTCATTTCCTATTAAGGCAAAATCTTTGCCCTCCTTTAGATCCCAGGATTTCACTACTATAGTACAAGATTATTTTACTATAGTACAAGATGATTATTTATTATTACTTTAGTATAGCTTCATGTTTATTTTTATTTTTTTTAGTATCGTCAAAATTCTATTTAGTTTTCATCATCAGCTTGTCGCAGTACACTCCTGGACACAGGCCTCACCCAATGCACGCCACTTAGATCGATTTTCGGCTTCTCGCATCCAGCTTAGTTATTCAGTTTTTATTGCAATTGCATTAAAAACAACGTAGCTTGGGAGATTAAATATTTAATTTAATGATTAAGTATGCAACTCCATTTCGATCGATACGTCTCGTTCAGTGTTCCACAACAAGGCACGGGAAATAAATTATTATTCGGCTCAGGATTTTGTTGCCTACTCTCACTCCATCTACATTAGTATATGTAAAGATGTTTCGTATTCCAGATGAATTAATGTCAGGACTGGGGCTACAATAACATTAGCGGATGACTGTCTACCCTTTTTTTCTTTAAGTATTGTGGGATACAAGACAATGTTAATTCTCCATATATCTAGTAGGTATATAAATAGCTAGTGACTGCGCCACAGTGTTCTACTAATGCAGTCATTATCGAACACATTGATTTATTATAATATGTTGTCAGTTTTAAATAAAGAATTTATTATTATTATATAATAGCGTTATATAACAAAGTATACAAGTACACTTCCCTGTGTATAGTCCAAAGTAATATCGTAAATTAATGTAAATTTGGTTGATGGTTACCTGATTTACGCCTTAACAACTTAGTATAGAAAAAAATATTCAAACATTTTGTTACTTTCATCAGAAAAACCGAAAGAGATTGCGAAATCTAACGTGAGTGAAGCCGCGGGCCGAAGCTGGTAGAAATATAAATATATTTTGTTCAAACGAACTATGTGATATAGCTCCCTTGGGTCTTTTCTCCGAACTGTATATTTTTTTAGCCAGTGTAACTTGTATGTATGGGCTATGATACTAATAATGTACCTCTATTGTGTTGTATATAATATTGGCTCTAATTCTGTTGATCGAAAACTCTCTAAACTAAACTAAAAATTACTTAAAATTAGTTAAGTCCTGTCAAGTACAACTGCTTTAGACTACGAAACACTGCTTGACAGGTCTAAACAAATTTTTAGTGATTTTTAGTTTAGTTTAGAGAGTTTTGGAACAACAGAATTAGCAACATTGTGTTACTAAGAATATTCTCATACGTTCACTTTCTGTGTCAACAAATAAATATTGTTAATATGTTTTGAGCTGTTTAATCCTAATATATGTATGTGTTTAAACCAATAATTACTATATGTATATTATATCTCCTGAAAAACTTCAGGTTATATAATACATATAGTAAGTATAGTAGTATAATTTAAAGATATTAAAGATTTTTGTTTTAAAGATTGTACACCATTGAATTTAATGCTATACCTACTATCTATATCTATATACAAATAAATAAAATTGAAGTGTCTGTTTGTAACGTCAAAATAATAGGTTTTTTCATGCTCACACCGTTATTTGCACGATACCTATGCCGAAAAACCCGTTTAAATATTTTCTACGAGAATCGAACCCACTGAGGCAGTGCTTTTCAAAAATTCCACGCGTACGAAGTCGCGGGCACCAGCTAGTCTTTTTATATACATATGTGTATAAAGTTTTTGGCCGTAAGCCGCAAAACTATGCTTTAGCACGTTATACGGTCTTACAGAATAGCGGTGTCTCAAACAAAATAAAATACCCTACACAAAACACAGGGACACTAGTTTATCATCTTTTCCATCTGGATAGCCTGCATATAAAGGCGATCCCACCTATTCATTTTTATATTTTTAATACATTAAGTTGGTATGTAACTCTTGTACTGATACGGACAATACGAGTAAGACTTTAAAATATTTATTAGGTGAAGTAGTTACCCGAAAAGCACTCTATGGTCTCGGATAAGCTATACATATATATCACACCTTGAAATTAATGACTAATACCTTCCGTCTAAATGCTGTCAACGGTTATCTCATTAAAAAAGCCGTTAACTATTAGGTCCATTATATCCGATACCAAAAGGGAAAACAATTATTGACAGAGTCTTTGATTACTCGCTACTTTATTGTTTTTTTACTCAAAACAAAAATGTACCGTTGATTTCTGGTTTGTCCTATTGTTTTTGGTTTAGTGAACTCGGTCGAGACACGGCCTTTTTTGTGTGAAGTGCCGACCTGTACCTCGGTAATACTATACTGGCGACAGCACGCGGGCCGCCTGAGCTGGTCGGACACAATCGTCGCGACAACAAAAACACACCTTATTGTAAGCATAGGTACTTGTTGCGGAGTTTTCATGGTCTGTTGGCCATTACAATGTTCACAAAATGTTGTTATGTTTAACTGCACTAAAACACCACTTAGAATGCGAGAGATGAGTAATTATACTTCGTTGTAAAGTGCCACCTAATATTAGCGAGTGACGGTAATGTCTCAACCCGATGCTCTTTGGGCGGGTAGTATAGCAGTGCCATTCTACCCGCCGTAATGGCACCAACTTTCCTCACATTTGAAAATTTTAAACGTTATACGTTTCACGATGAGTATGAATTTTAGGTTTTTTAAAGAATGTTAAACTATATACATATGAAGTGACTAAATTGATAGTAGAAAGTCAACAGTGTGCCAAAAATTTTAGCATAATAATGCTAGCTGAGTCGCTAATTTCAGTGTTCTAATTTTATAGCTTCCAAAACTTTGTCTAACTTATTCAGAACAACAGAAATTCTCTTCATTGAAATTTCTTTAGAAATTTTAATTGCCATTATTTAATTTTATTGCAAATTAACACATCAGTTATATCGGAACTTTCAATCGTTTTTGTGTCCATTTCTCAAAGAGAGCGAAATTTGGGTTTCACAAAAAAATGCTTAGAACCTGGCGATAAGCGGTAAAGATGCACCCGGTTACCACCGGTCCTTAATTTATTTTAAAATTGTTTTTAGATCGATTCGATACCAAGGGCTTTACCTTTTTTTACTTTGAAGTTTTAGATAATAAGATAAAGTTAAATTGTCCATGACAATGTCCAAATTGAAGTGTTGAAATAAAGGTTATTATTTCCAAGTTTTAGTTAAGTAACTCCTTTGAGTGTGGAAAAAAGGGTAGGTACTAAGAAAAGAACACAACATACAGTCAGTGCCAGGAGTCATGGTATTTCGTTGCAGATTACCACCAACATGTGAATTATCTCACTACGTTGGGTTTAATTTTCGCAGCTTTTGCAGTGTTATCTAATTATTATTATGAATAGAATTAATTTTATCAGTGTCGATCTCCTTGCATACTTACTCCCGAATAAGAGTTTGTCGAAGACTTTTATTGCACTGATACCAACACGATTTTTATCAAAGATTAATTGCCTTATATACCGTATACCTTATCGAATTAAAATACCTGTTATTCTAGTAGTCATTAGCATGGCAACTTCACATCTCTAAATTACTTTCGTTAATTGGATTTCAAGAACCAGATAAGCTTCTCATAGCTTCCAGTCGGAGCGGTTCTGACGGAAATGTGGCAACCCTCGCGTAGTTTGGTAGAGGCTGTGTAGAAAGGAGCACGCGGCTCCAAGGACGACGACGTGCACACCGGTTGTTCACCTCGGCAGCAAGAATGCGCGGGAACGCCACGGGAACCGATCGCTTGCGGTGCCGGACCGGCCTGACCGCCAATCGACACTGTCTTTGCATTCCACTGCGGTGAATCGTATGTCTTGACATCTAACACGCTTAAAGTGTCAATGGAATTTTGCTGAGTGCTTAGTGTCTCAACAGATGTGCAGGCGCTACTGCGGTAACAGCTTTGATCTCTCACTAGTCTGTGCCTCGTTAAACTTTATTGTCCATATAGCACCTCATTTGTTTCTTCGGTCTCTATTCATCGGATGAAGCCATTCATAACTGTTTGAGTTGATTTTTGTTCTAGTCTTGAGACGGTGCAGCTACGCTTTGTTAATGGAGATCTTTACACAGTGGTTTGGTACATTGGTTATCGCTTTATGTTTTCTACGTGAAACAGCTTGAATTTATAAATACAAAATACACGTTAACGAGTTTTTTTATAAAAAGAACAAGTAGATATTGTATTGTAAGTAAATTAATAAAAAGAAAAGATGTTCTAACTTATATGTGGTGTATGATATCTGTAGAAAATATACGCAAAAATGACTTGCCTAAGAGGATGGCTAGATTAATAGCCTTCGATGCGAACTTGTAGTTAGGTAGGTATATATCACAAAGCCTTAGTACTTCTATGTATAGCAAATTATGTAGTCGAAGTATAGGAAGTTTTACAAAACAACTGTGCATATAATACTTGTACATATCACGTGTCGTTAGGCAAGATACATTTCATTGATATTCTGCTGTATTGATTTCGTTTGTAGGATTTATTAAATAGTGATCATGGATGAATTTATAATTGGCTGGGCGTTTCTGGTCTTATTAATCAAAGATTATATTAGTTAAGCTAGCTGGGGCCCGCGACTTCGTTCGCGTGAATTTTGAAAAGCGCTGCCTTAGTGGGTTCGATTCCCGTACCGGACCGGGCAAAATTTTCTAGGCTTTTTCTGAGAAATAAAATAGCCTAAGTTACTCCTTATTTAGACACCTACATGGTAGTAAAATATTATCAAAATCGGTCTAGCCGTTTTGAAGATACTCGGAACAAGCTCGGAACAAGACAGACAGACATACAAAAAAAAACCTGGTTTTTAGGCATATATATCCTTCAAATAACCGCGTGAGCATGATAAAATCTATTATTTTCACATTACAAACAGATATTTCAATTTTATTTATTTGTATAGATTGTATAGATGAAACTGATGGCCGAGTATTGTAACATTCAGTACATTACACTCTTTCAATGTCAACACATTAAACCGGACCCAGACACGTTTAAATATATCTGTCATTTCTTTTAAAAGGCGTTACATTTGAATATGAAAATGACAGTGTATGCGTAGGAAAAAATAAATAACTAAGGCAATTTAATTGTTTCGCAGCAGTTTTCAACAATGCAGTAATTATGTGAAAGTTATATTTTACCAAAAGAAAATGTTTTTTACCTACTTCAAAAACAGAGGAGATTCTTAATTCGACTGTTTCTTTGTCTATTTGTTACGGGGTATCTCCGTCAATTGTCTATCAATTTTCACAAATAAAAATGTAATCCAAAGCGTATAACCCCAGGAGGTCCTATTACCACCAAATCAAGAGAATTTGAGGGAAATTCTCACATTTTACAGCCCTGACAACGTATTTTAGCGTCAAGAAACAAAAGCAACCAAGCACCATATATAACAAAATCTAATTTATTATTAACTTATGGATCGTCACAGATATATATTTTTAGATAGATCGACTAGGGTAAGTACTAGCCGCGCACGTTTAATGTTTTGAACTCTAACCTACATAGATTTGCATAAATAACAACAACGCACATAAATTAAGGAAAACTATACACTTTTAACCAAGATTTATCTAACCAATTTATCGAGATGAGATAGATTTACATTTTGGAAACTACGATGCTCCAGGAAGCGGGTAATTTTATCTTCCAGGTAACTCTTTTGCAGTCGTATCATGAATACTTAATATTACTTACGTAATGTTGTATGTATATGCTACGTTCTTGAGAAGCTTAGGTGACGAATGCTTATAAATACGGCTTCATCATGATGTCATTCAATACTGTTTTAGATTCAGAAATATCTTTGCTTTGTCAACATTCAAATAAGTATGTCATGAAAGGTAAACTTTCCATCTTTGTTATTTAATATGTGGAGGGCATATTGATAAGAAGCAAAAGGTGTACAAGAGCCGGATGTATAAGGTAGAAAAAGAGTGATTCAGTCAGAGATTTCTAAACTTTCAATTGGAGATGTGTCGTGAATGGAAATGGTGGCGGTGTTAAACAAATGTATGTGTAATTTGAAGATCGAATTCTGAATGTGTTAGTAGTATTACGGTATTTTGTGTGCTTTCTGTTCGTGTTCTTTTATTTGTGTTATGTATTCACAAAGTGTAGCGAACAGTTAAGGTCCCGTAAGGAAGTTCGTAGATCTATTTACTTTTTTGTGTTTTTCTTAACAACTTAGGCATTTAGGCCGTTATGTGACGAGTGACTTTTGACATAAAAGAGAAGTTTCATTTAAAAATTCTTAAAGGTGTTATCGCATCATACACAAAGTTTACAAATAAAACATGGATCATTTGCAGATAAAGTACTAAAAAGTATCAATCAGTTCTTTTTTAAATGATAGCTATCTTTTCTGAAACATATATAAAGTGAAGACACATTCTTTGAGTGTTTTAGGTGAGATAGAATGTTCCTTCTCGAAAGACAAGCACACATCTAACAATGATCTCGTGAAAGACTCAGTAGCGTAAAAAAGTAATCAATTAATAATGTGAACATTAATTGAAATATACTTAAAAGATGCTAGACAGCACCACGCCATGTCTGTAGCCCCGGCAAGTGGCTGTCACGGATTCGGGTCACGTACGGAGAGAGGGAACATCTTTGGAAGAGTATTAAAATAGTTAGGATAGTAGACGTTTTAAAAGAATATAGAAGACATTAGACATGCGTAGTACCTTTTTTGTCAACAGCTTTTTCATATTAGTACATATTGAGATTCTGCCGTATTATTGTGTGGTACTGAAAATATTGGTGCAACAATTTGCGGTTTAGAGGTTGGTTTTAGGATATCCATACCCTTTTTACAAGCTTTATATTAGCTTCACTTGTATGTTTGTTTGTATGTTTGTAACCGACTCCTTTGGGCGTGATTTTGACTGACTTTAAACAGTCAGAATTCGTTCAAAGTTTGTAGATATATCGAGGACCGATGACAATACACTAATTTAAAAAAATAAAATAAAAAAGCGTGGGGTGCTTTTTACTATTGACAACAGGCAACCAACGCTTTTCTTCAAATTTATTTTCTATTTTTTAGTTTGGTTTTCTATAGAATGCGTGTTTTTTAGTTTTTTAAAACTATAATTTTTTTCTGTTAATAATCTAGCTGGTGCCAGATTTATAGAAGAAAGTTTTAGTAGAATAAAAATGTTTTCAACATCAGGAATCCTTAACCAAATTTGCACATTTAGATAAATCTGTAGCGTTGTATAATAAAGTAAATAAATAAATAACATCAAAAGTGTATCAAACTTTGAAACTTTATGGATATCGACGGTAAATACTTATTATCATGAATATTGTGAAGGTAGTTGTGTCATAATTCTGTAGGAAGAATTATAATATAAAATAATAGTTTTAAGAACAATACATAGATGGTTTGTTCTTTCCTCCTTTCATGCTTATTAATATAATATAACAAAATTACCTTTTAGTTATTATAATGGGTTGGTAAATAAATACTTGGATTCGCGGGTTATGCAAACCTACTAGTCATGTGTTCTTATTCTCAGGTTTTTATGTTTAAAAATTGCTAAAACAATAATGTAAATTGTAAAAGTGGGTAACTTTGGCTATTACGAGCTTATTATTACGTTAAGTTTTTATTAACATTGTAGAAATGTAATTCAGTACAAAGGAGATAAAGTTACTGATACTGTTTGAATTGTTGGGCTAGTAATGTGAACAGGTTGAACTCAGAAGTAGTCTTAATTCTAAATCACACACTATTATATTATATTATGTGGCAATAATTTGCAATTGTAGTGACTAATTTTGATTTTACTAAATGTTATAGTAGAATTAATTAGTTGTTTTTTTTTTTCAATAAAAAATAAAAAAAATAATGATCAATAAGTGCAAAGGGTATAGGAAAAAATGATCCTGCATAGTCTCATTTCATTAACTAAATTGAACAGTCAAAAATAAAAGAGAGATAATTTATCTAAATTTAGAAATGATAATTATAACTAGTGATCACACAGATTGTATGACCTGTACGATTGCCTAACAGATTTATTTTTGTTTCAACTATTTTTTTACATACCTTCTACGAGTAGTAGTAAAGTCAAAGCAATTAATTTCAGTCCCACGGGAAACCTTCACTAAATTGGTATATCTCAGGGTTATGTAGGTCATTCTTAGGTAAGATTGACATTGAAAGGAGAAATAATTGCCCGTCGTCTCGCGGTGTAAACGCCGCCACATTGTTGGCAATCGGCCAAGTAGATCAGCACCTAGGTCCCACAACACACAAACACATATAGCTATTATATTAACAATCTAGACTTCACACTAAGAACGACAAATGCTCAGACATATCCGTCAAAATCAAAATTTAGAATAACGTCTGGGCTAAAATGCTATTTTAAGACGCGTGTGAATTCTGAGCATTTGCCAAAATTTTAAGATACTTGTGATATTTAGTTCGTTTCTTGCGTTATAATGCTAGCAATGAGTTGATATATGTAGTTGTTGAGTTTTTATATGATTGGTAAGGTATTTAAATACTTCTGTGTAACCAAATTCAATTCTCATACCTCACGTTTTAAAATTCCCAGACGTGCTTGTCTAAACTGTTTTCATTGTTGAACTAGAATTATAGAATTTTGTAAATACGTAGATTTTTAGGGCACAAGTAATGGAAATAATCCTAATGTATAAAAAACCGGGAACTTTTTTTGAGTTCTTATTAATTATAACTTAATAAATCTGTTAATGAAGCATTATTTTTACAATTTATTTATCAAGTGGTTAACGTCAGCCGTCAGACGCAAATGACATCATTTATCATCGTTACTTGTAATACAAAGAATGTTTTAACCAATCAAGAGATTTTAACCGTCAAGTCGTTCTAAAGTCAAACCATAATTACAGATGAACATTTAGTTTTAGATAAAGAAATAACAAGTTTATAATTTCTCACAAACCAAGATTCTTCATTCTTTATGTATCTATTGAGATACATATAATTTACTACTCAATATGTATTAAATTATCTATCAATCTAAATATATATTGTGCATATTATGTTAAAAGGCTAACGATTGACGTGACTCATTAGCTTTCTTGAGAGGAAGTGGTCGGACGATATATGAATAAAACCGCTGGAACTTTTGCGCATCTTCCAGTCATTAGACACGACTACTGGATGCATTTGTTACCGGATGTGTCGCATGTGATGAATGACGGATTCATCATTATTGACTGCTCGAATACAAACAGGAATACTGACTTGAATGTTTTATTTAAAACTAGCCATTGGGATCTTTATTCTTATTACGCGTCGTAGACTAAACATAAAGATGCCACTTTATTTATTTTTAAACGAGTTGAATGTATATGCACGTAGATGTCCATATGTATTGTGATGCAGGAGAGGTATAAATAAAATAAGAAATATTCTATCTACAGAATGACGAAGATCAATGGCACTATTCATTCCAAAAAGTAATGTCACTGATAAAGTGAGGAACAGTGAAATCACCTCTGTAACTTTTATCGAAAGTTAAATAAACATTTATTATCCCTTGCATGTATTTGTGTTGTGAATTGACTATTTAAATGAGTAGCATGTTATATATCATTTCCTTTAAGGCTTGATAACATGTGAATATTGGTGCTACCTTTGCGTTGAGCTCGTACCTTTAAAAAAAAGGCTGAGTTAATCGACTTAACGGGAAGTTGGTCTAGTAGTTAGTGACTCTGATATTAGAAATATTAAAATATTTTTATCAGCAGTCTGGTTACCATTGCACAGGCTCTGCCTAGTTTGGAGTCAGATGGCCGTGTGTGTGATGTGTAAAGAAAAAGAAACTTTACCCATAGCTTTTATTAATTTATTCTTACACCAAGACAAGCACACGTAAAAAGCTATAGCATTATACGTCGCGCGACACTAAGATTGCAAAACCTTTAATAATCATTAAAAAATAATTTACTGCTACACCACAAATGCAATACGGATTTGAACTTGTTAGTGTATAAAGTTGTGATACATAGTTTTCATTTAATGTTACACTATATCAGTTGTATAATGTGAGTCGTCGATAATATAATTAGGTTAATGACACCGTTTGACTGTTTGTTTACAGTTCATTTACAGCATTCTAAGCACATTGTGTAATCTGAGAGTTAAAGATAAGGAATGAAGATAGGTTTAAAAACTTAGTTCCATACTATGGTAGACTAAAAAGTAGGTGGCTAAAAGAAAGTAAATAAGAACACAAACAGAGAAAATCTATACTAATATAATGAAGTTGAAGAGATTTTTTTTTGATTAAGCCGATAAACTCTGAAACTATCAGTCGGACTTGAATAATTATTTTTGCATCGCAAAGAGTATTAGTTACGAAAGTTCATGTAAAATCTTGAACTCTACAATTCTGGCATTTAAAGGCCGGAAAGGCGTCATCTGTCACCCTAGCAGAAACAGGCCAGGTTGGCGGTGCGACGCTCCGTGGAGCGGGCGCGCCCTCTAGGTTGTGAAAATACCGTGGTTCCCACACACGAAGGGGTCATATAGAGGCCGTAGACATCCCGGGGTCCGTCGGGGTTCATAGGATTTCCTTCCTAGGGTACACCTGGTTCTCCGTTACTGGTACCCGAGGCGGCGTGCGGGTTTTAGTCGGTTCGAGTCCGACATACCCAGCGGTGGGTAGCATCCGAGGGGATTTCTACACAGAAAGAAAAGTGTCCGAGTCAATGGGCACTCTTGTTTGCCCTATGCCATAAAAATGTACCCTTAAATTGCTTTTAATAATTAATTTGAAGCATCATAGGTATGTGCTCGGTAAATTGCAGGTTCAACCGAATTTTATCCTTGGCCGTGAACTTATTTAAATATGATTATCGGCTCTTCATATGTTATAGGTTCATTTTTAAACTGTGATCAGTAATAACTCGTGTCACTGACCTATCGTTGTCGCCATCGTCCATATAAATAATAAAAAAACACATTACCAAGAACAGTTGCATGGAATGGTTTAAGACTCCCCACTATTTTTAATAAATAATCAATGCATATTATGTGTTACACATAAGTTCTTTATCAACTATCTAGTAGTAGTCCATATGACAAAAAACATTAGTGATAAAAATATTTATAAGAAGGAGAATGATTTCACACTGTGTAACTATTTAGATTAGCTTTGCGTGGGAAGCAGCGTTTGAAGGTAATACTATTATTATTTGTGTACCAATATTCGCATGAAAAATATTTTCTTTTATGTGAATTTACAAAGGGCAAAGGCAACACACCTTAAAAAATATCATATTCCCTTAAGTCTATCGACATTATAATTATACGTTTAGATACTATGTAGTATAAGAAATACGGATATTTTTGTGCTTATAAAATGTTACAATTTATTCACAGTGTTCAGCTGTATGATCGTTTAGCATTAAATATTCTAAAACACTTATAAAAAAAGTTCCGATTTTTTAAGTTTTTTATCATGACAGTTTTAGGAACTGAGGGTATGGATAACACTACTTTACCTATGCATTACTTACTACTTCTTCGTCTCACGGCATTAGGGGGTCAATTCTCGTAACAAAAAATCGTTCAAATTCAGTTCGGATTTACTTTCGATCTCACATTCTCATAGTATATATTTTCGTAGTAAAGTATTACTAAGACTAACAGGTACCAATTTAACTTTCAGTCACAATACGATATAATCACATTAAAGTCTACGTTGAATGTTTAATATTTTAGCACGAAAATACCTTTTTTATGATAATTGTAAGAGTAGACCGGCACTGAATTTTGATGTCTGAGAAATTGAAATTAAATAGTTTTAGTTTATGTGTTATCAGCACGCGAACGCAATGCATGTCAAGTTTTGATTATTCAAAAGGTGTCAACGACGAATAAATTTTTACCAGTAGACCAATAGCTACTTTTTTGTTACAGGCTTGATCCACCTGCAGCACAAACCCAGTATCAAATGGAGAACAAAAAAGTAGCACCTGCCACGCAGCAGCCACTCACGCAACAACATCTTATGGCACATCATGTTCATCCTGATCAGATCTATGCACAGCAACATCAAAATCAACAAATATCAAACCTAAATTCTACACAATCAGGCCAAATTCAACCTAATGGTGTCATGCACCAATTGTTACAGAGTCAGTACCACTCAAACATGAATGCTCGATCTCCGCTCCTTGAAAATAGACACGAATTATATGGGTCAGGCCATAATCATGATTATGCTAGACATTATGGGACTAACGATAATTATAACTATCCTCAGTCTCCCCCAAGACACGAAAGGACAGAAGTCCACACTGATCATAATGTAAACCATGAATTACTTCAAAATATGCCTAAAGGATATAACGCGGAAGTGTATCAAGATTATTTAAAACGAAACCCACCGAAGGATACCAACCAAATATACCAAAATCACCAACCTACCTATAGATCTAATGTAAATCCTAACCAGCATGGATCAAAACCATATCTGCCCTATTCAAGTAGAATAGGCCCGCAGAGTAATACAGAATTGTTAAGACGCCAATATAGTGAAATTCAGCAAATGAAATTACAACAACAGTTACATTATCAAAATCAAGCTCAAATGCATCAACAGCAGAAGTTTGCAGAACGACAATTATTACTACAACAAATTCACGGTGTACAACCTCCACCTAACTTACAAAACAGTATATATTCTGACGGCTCTTATAGGGATTTGGATAGATACAGTAGTAAAAATGACTTCAAAGAGTATAGTAGTCCTGATATACAAAAGGATATTGACAGTTTCGCAAGAAATAACGAGTATAAGGAATACGAACAGCAAAGAAGATATCAAGAATCGCAATGGCAAAGTCAACAAGCTGAGTATAGGGAACAGGAACAGTATAAGAGATCACAAGATACCGACAAATCAAAAAGTCAGTCTCCGCCCTCAGAATATAACAATAAAAAAAATAACGTTAGCATTGTATCACCTATGAAGTCCAGCGAATCGAGCACTCCTAGCGTGAAATCACCATCAGAAAGTAGGCGAAGTAGCGGGGGTAATCAGGCTCTGAGATCACCGATCGCACAACGAATACCAACCGCTCCAGTAACAATGTCTGGAATACTCTATAAACAAGGCTCAGATGGTCTGAAAGTTTGGCGAAAGCGATGGTTCGTTCTCTCCGAGTATTGCTTATTCTACTACAAAAGTAAGTTATTTGATGGTGTTTACGACATCATTATTAGCAAATACAATAAAATGACTTGGAAAGCTTTATTTTATTGTTGTGCAACCTTCTATAAGCTCAGTAAATTAACAATATATTTTTAGTTTTATTTTTTTGAGAGATTATTATAAATGTTACCTTTTGTTAATTTCAAAGGTCAAGATGAAGAGAAACTTCTCGGTTCAGTGCTTCTACCATCATATAAAGTATCTTGTTGCACAGCTGAAGACAAAGTACTACGTAAATTTGCTTTTAAATTGGAACATGCGAACATGAGGACTTATGTTCTAGCTGCACCTGATCAGGAAGCTATGATGAAATGGGTTAAGGCGTTAACTATGGCTGCGCTCATGCAAAACGTCAAGTAAGTTACTACATAGTAATAAATTAACAACTACCCCTAATTGCGGTTTCAAATATTGTTGATTATTGCACCACTTCTATGGACTGGCTGCGTTTTATTATTTAATAACATTTAATGAACAGAATAGTCAAAAAAGGGTTTTTGTAAATCAGACTGGTAAAATATGAGTTTAGTTCATTACAATAAACAAACTCTGTACGTTCACAATAATCATATTGAATATATCAACTGATGATTTATATTTTTTTTTTCAGTGATCAATCACAAAAGCCAAGCGACAGGACAGCTGCAAAACCAGAGGTAGGTATTCTCTAAGCACGTATAATTTACCGGTGCAGGTGATCGGCAATTAGTTTGTCAGAGCGGAACCAAGGACAGGTATTACGTCGTGGCCATAACTGCAGATAATTGTGTATAGATGACACCGCACACTACTTGTGAGCTCAAAAAAACTGTTTAGAATGTATTGTATGTATTTATTGATTGTAGTCAATTGAAGTCTACAATTAACATAAAATACCTTTTTTTACAGGATGGTGATGAAATACCTACTTACGCTAATGCGCCACCCAAACCGAGACGATCGAATGAGGGCTACAATTCTCCTAGTCCAGATATGTAAGTATGAAGTTATTAAATGTACAAAAATATCAAAAGTATTACTAAACAAATATACGTACAATCCCAATTTCAAACATTACAGGTATGATCCAAACTACGATTTACTCAGAAAGCCTGCATCACACTACAGTCAAGGCACTAATCATGTACGATACCAAGATCATCTCAACTATCCAATTAGTCCAAATCAAGAGTCTACCTATTCAAGCAGTCCGCAGTCTCCGCCGTCTGTTCAGCATCAAACACAGTATCAAATAAAACGACCTTATGATACGCAACATCTCTCATTGCCATTAACTAATACAGTCACTGATAAGCTTGACAATAGTCAACCCAGTACGTCTATCTATAAGAATAATCAACAGTCACCTTACATTGATAGGAATCGAAGTCAGCAACAAGTTCCACAGGAAAATATGGAACAAACATACGACAGGCAATCTCAACGAAATGTTTTCTTACAAGATACTACTACTCAGGGAGAAAAAACACTTAAAAACAATGATATGCATATTAAAACTTCTCGTACGAATATTTATGAAGAAAAAAATCAGTCAGTCAATACCGACACTACCCCTGAAAGTAGAAGTACTTCTAAAGGGATTTCTAATCAAAGTGCTTATAATAAAGATGTTTATGGAGAATTGAGTTCAAGATCAAATAGGTCAGGCAGTGCTTTGAACGAAAGACTGTTAGTCGAGAGGCGCACACCTGACGCTTATGGCAGATCAGCTATGGCTGCGTACAATAAAGGGAAGATTGACTATGAAGACGTGTACGGACAATATACAACTGAAAATGAATACGGAAAAACATATGCAAAATCACCGAATCGAGTTCAAGATCGCGACAGTGTTAGCATTTCTAGTCATCAACAACAACAAAAACAAACTGTAAATCTTGTAAGTTACCTCTAAATATTTATATAACTTAAGTGTATATCCTCTTTGACTAATGACGAATACTTAAATGTTGTTTTTAGGCCCAAGAAAAAAATTTTAGTGGACCATCGGTCTTAAGAAGGAAAAAGATGCAGTCAAGTGGTATTCAACCACCCATGCCGAGGCCTCATAGTGCAGATTTTCTAGAATATGAATCTAAAGTTGAAATGTTGAATAAAACAGATCCTGCTCACAAGGCTTATGACACGCGTAAAGAACCACAACGACCAAAGTCTAGTTTAGACATAAACTCTTACTATGACCCTAGTTCTGATAGGTATTACTCTGAAGAAAGTTACGCTGAAAAAATGCGTAAATCTGCTCAATATTTACAGCAGGGACTAGTGGCAGGACCAAAAAATATGGAAATTCCTCTAGCGAATTACGCTAGCGGCTTAGCGAAAAAACAATTAAGTACAGCTTACTCGCAAATGACAAATAATAATTATGAAGCCGAATTTAGCGCGAACAGGGATAATATTAGTTTCAATTCAAAATATGGCGATGCACAAGGATTAAATTCCAACTGGACTTTGAAAGAAAAGGTAGAGAGTCAAAAAGATCATATGAATAGAAGCGGGAGTGTAATGAGTGATGGGTCCAACGTAACTGGTTACGTCAAAGATGCTTCTAAATACGATGTCACGTCTGAAGGTTTTATGAGATCTGCAAGTGCAAGGTTACCGTCTAGTGTGCCAGAAAAAGAGGTTGAAAAGAAAGTTCAACAGGTAAAATACACCATTACATTTATTTTTGTATGTCAGGGAGAGGGATATAAAATTATATAGTTCTTAAACATTTTTCTTCCATAGACCACTACTAATTACTTTATAAATATGTCACTACTTCTTTATTATAGTTTCTTCAGTTTATTTTGATGTCTGTTACAGCGTGAGGAGTCAATGAAACGGTTGCTGGAATGGAAACAAAGGATGTTACAGTCACCACTAACGAGAAAAAGTACTCCGGCTACCATTTCTTTAGCAAGATCCCTAAATCAAAGTCGCCAATCTCTTAGATCTGACCAATACAAACCAAAGACATATACAAATGCTTCTTACAATAGTTACTCTTCTGACGATGAAGGTATGTTTACATATATACAGATTATATTCATTTTTATAAAATATTTCCCATGTATATGATGTGTTTGTAGGTAGAAATATTGTAGCATGGGTTAAAAAGTGTTTTAAAATATTGGTATAATAGGTAATTTTTCAGTTAAGCATGTTTCACGTATTTTTATTTAATGACTGATTTTAGTTTGCTTGAATGTTGTTTGCTGAAGTTGTTTAAAAAAAAGTAAGCGGGTATTCTGTTCAACAATATACAATTTATTTCACAATCTAACGGAAAAGTTTAAAGTCGAAATTTTTCTATATCATATTTATATAAAATTTACCAAGCATACATATAAACCATTTTCAAACCATTAATTTGAACGCGTGTAATTCAGTCTCCATTACAAATCTATGAAAATGCCATTAATTTGAGCTAAATTTCATTATTATTACTTTTCTTATGCATTACCTTTATCATATATATGGATTCAGCAGTAGCATTATGATGACTTCGCTTTGCGGAGAGGTACCTTCCTGCCTGCGGGGACATCGTGCCACTAACATCATTTTACTGGCCTATTATTCGGTGGAGGGTTGTAAAATATAGTTTTTGTTGGTTTGTTATCAAGTAGTTTGCATCACTCTAACACTCGAAGCGATATCTACTAACAATGTGGTGTCCGTTAGGAAACTATAAATCATATATATGTTTAATAATTACTATTGATATAGTAATTATCGGTTTCACTTTTGCACCTCAGAGGAAACACCGGGCACTGATCTGCAAAAACCCAGAAATATGCAGGCAGGAAGGTCTCATAAAGAGGACCTAGCAAGTCCTATCATTATGCAACCTATATCCCCGCACGTGCCTCCTATTGCTCAAATCGATTTAGCGGTAGTTCAAAATGAAGAAAAAAAGACAGTTAACGAAGTCGCACACCCTTACCAAAATATGCTTTGCATACCTGTACCAAAAGTAGAGGGAAGTGAGTGTGATGATTATGAAGATAATAAAAATAGTGAAGAGGAAGTAACTGAAGTTTCAAATTTTCTTAGTACATCAAAAGACGAGTATGAAACAAATGACAGCGAAGCAGAATCTGAAATACAAGAAGAATATACTGACAATGATTTAGATGAGGTTTTGCTTCAATCTGATGTGGACTCTTCCATTAACGTTCGAATAAACAAAATCGAAGATGACCCCACAAGTGAAAACCAGGAATCTAAACATGAAGAATCTGATACAAAGCCTGTTACTCCTCCTGTAGGTCCCTTAGTTCCTAGTGAAAACCACTATTTACCTATGAGTCCTCGAAAAATTTCGGTGAGTGAACCACCCCACAAAGCTATTTTTGAAAATTTTAGTGTATTTGATCAGTCTTTACCTCAAGGTTATGAAGATAATCCATATGTTGAAATGAATATAGGAAATGAAGAAGAGGACACTCAAACGTATGAAGTTGTTTGTGTAAATAACGGCCATGTTGAACCCGTTTATATGGAACTTAGTAATGTTGCATCTAGTGAGAAAAAACCTAATAGTGAATCAGTAAAATTATTAGACAATGTATCGAATTTTGCAGATACGAAGTCTCAGACATTAAAAAGACTTTCAAAAAGTGATAAGATTGTAAAAGAAAATTCTGAATTTTCGGATGCCGATGATGAAGCCAATAAAGACTGTTCCTTAGAGACTCCTTTTAGTAGATTTAGTATTTCTGACACTTTTCGGCCAGCGTCCTACTATCTAAGTGGACCGAAAAATACTCTGGATCATCAGGATAGTTCTGATAGTGAGATTTTATCACCGCCACCAATTCCAAATACATCACCGCCCTATGATGACCTATCAGATGACGCTCTTTCTAAATATATACTAGATAAATTAGACAAATCCGATATATCACAAGATAATTCTATTTTGAAGATGTTAACATGTGAAAATCAAAAAATGAATACCATTAAGAGAAAAACAACATCGCTTATGATTTATGGCAGCAGAACATCGATTCACGACACCCTTACAAGAGGAGAGAAAATCCGCAACAGTAGAGCTAGCCTTACTGGTGATAAGAATAAAATGATTGAAAATTCTAGTAAGTTACTAAGCAGCACGTTACTTGATTACAATCATTCAAGCAGTATAGAAACAGACTCATTAAGAAGTTACGGTGCAGATAGAGGTTCTTCGCGATTATCTTTGGAATCGGATGTTAGTAGTAAATTTGATATAGCACCATCAAATATGTCATCTGAGCTGACAAGCTTAAATGATAGTGATTTTGCTGTCGATTTTAGACACCCTGCAGCATATCGAGATTTGGAAATGATAATAAAAAGAAGACCACTTTCTGATGATTCACTATTTGAGTTAGTTAAAGCTGAAATACCGATGCAAAATAACGATGTACCAAGTTACGTAGATTTAGATAGATATTTAGACAATTTGCAACCCAGTACAAGTGAAGCACATCACTATCATTTAAATAGTTCAGCGCCAGTACCTTTAAATTACAAGGATAATGTAATTCAATCTGCTCTACAAACCGTTACACATACTCGTTGTTCAAGTACACCTGTTAATCATAATAGTAGGCTTAATAGCTATGGAAGCAGAAGTTCTATTGTATCTCATTTTAGACACATTAATGAACAAACATCCAATTGCATGGGTTCCCAAAGTTCATGTAGCTCATCTGGAATGACAAAGTCACCTATGGCGTATTATTGTAAGAATCATGACGAGGAAAAATTTCTGAGTAAAAATTTAAACAATGATGCATTCTCTGATAAAGTCAAGGCATTTGAAATTGAAAAAATATCTCTCAGAACTGGCAACGCAACAAATGCTGCTTCTACTTCGACAGGTTTCCATAGCAGAGAAAGTTCAACAGAACACAGTGCACCTTATTATTACTCTGATCTGTCTTCACAGGAGCACATAAATGTTTTGCCTACTTCTCACTACTTAAAAAATACTAACCTTCATCGTAAGCTAAATAATCAAAGACGTAGGGGTCCATTACATAAGAAAAATGACATTTCACATATACATAATCCTATCCGTAACAATGAAGTTATAACACCTGAACCATCTTTTGAATTAGTTGCTTCGGCTAGGAGTGTTTCCGTGGAGTTTTTAAGCGCAGCTGACAAGGATCCTGAAATTGATATGAAAAATATATATGAATCCACGGGTGGCAGAAATTCAAAAATTCCAGAATCTATGAATTTATCAGGTCTTGGTTTTAAAAAAAACTCAAGCGGTAACAGTCAAATTGAACATTCTTCGGTAGATTCTTATACTATAAATGCAAGTCCCTTGATAAAATTATCGAGTACAAGCATGTCATCGCATTGTAGCGGCAATTCTTCGAATACTGTTTATTATGACGCTGAAGCAGAAGTAAGTACCTATGAAAACGTCATGTGTCAAGGTGATCAACATTGGGATGAAGATTCGCTCTGGAGAGATAATTTGAGACGAGTGTCTTACAGACATGCCCGATCTATGGATGACTTAGATACAATGCCGTCGCAAACATTGGTAACGGAAAAAAATAATATAGAAGCTTGTGGTCTGAATAGTATAAAAAGAGTTAAAAAGGATACTGGCAACAAAATAAGTAGAAATGTAACCTATGTTAATTGTGATATACAAGGTCGAATTCTTAGGCATAGAGAAAATTTTGGTATATTGAATTGTCGAGTATTAGAAGAAGAACAGAAATTAGATGAGAATGATGTATATGTCAGCCTTGCAGAAGGAGCTGAAAAATCTTTAGAATATATGGATGAAGGTGTCTATGAACAATTAGCAGTAGATTTAGTAAAATCTGATATTATAACTGAGGAGAGTAATGATACCAATGTTGAAGATAAAAGTAAGAAAAAATTTGAAATCGACAGAGAAAAATTAAGACAGTGGGATTTAATGTCAAGTGGTTTAATGAAGGGTAGGGCAGGTAACGTGCGGGGTGCGGGTGCTAGTGTGGGTATGGGAGATGCTGCCTGTAGTACGGACACTGGAACTGACAGTGCAAGCAATGAAGGTATCCTCTAACATTATATGGTCCCGTAAGGTACACTAAGTAAGTTATATTTTTGTTACAATTTTAAAAGCAAAGCAAAGTCATTATTCATCTACTTGAGACTGTAAATAATTTGGCATTTTTTATACAAATATAATACAAAAATAGTGTTGGTTAAAAGGAAAGATTTAAACACGATAAGGTGTAAAGCAAAACAAGCATGCACATTTAACATGGATTGTGTTTTTTGTAAATAGGAATACATGTACCTACTAATATGCAAACTGAAGCACACTTTATCTTGTTTTGTCATTAATTTTTGATATAAGTAAATAAAGTAATATTAACCAGTCCCTAAATGTGTAATTTTGATAGCGATTTATAAAATGATTTCAGCTTCTATGACAATGTCAGGCACAAATACGGAAACTGGTACTAATAATAATTCAACGAATCAACAAGCATTATCCAAGAAAGCTTTTCTCGGAAGTAATACATCAATTGGAAGGAACAATCGAGATGCTAACATACCGGTACGGGCGGTGAGCCCTAGGGTGAGATGGGTAGAAGATAAAACGTCTAATGATCATTATGGCTCGCAACAAATGTATACGTCGCAGCAAAATGTAAGATATTTTGTTTCTTTGAGAAGCTCATTACAATTTTAATGAAATGTATACGTCACTAGAATTTTGGGATTAATTATTTATTTCCAGTTAAATTCTGCAACAGAAGAGTCTTGGGCTTCAGCTAGATCACCTTCTAGGACACCTCAGCAGCCTATAAGAGCTGTTAGTCCTAGAATTAGAAGAAACACTGAAACTGATGAACTGGTAAAACTATTATTTAGTACCTGTATTTTGTGAATTAGAATAAATACTCTTGTGAGTGTTATGCATATTTATTCATTCATATACGGTTTTTAGTCACGTACGGGTAAACTTTGGTGATGCCTGACTTAGTATATCCTTCATAATTTTTTTGTGTTTATTGAAACTATGTCATGGGTTAAAATTATTTTAGTTAGTTTTACGTCGCTTTTATCATTTGTGTTGCATTTTGTATTATCACAATAGCAAAGAGGGGTGCAGCAACTTAGTCTGACTGAACAGTTGGGTGAGATTCCAACCGCTGGAGAACTTCTGGGTCGAACTCATGAAGAATTGGTGTTACTCTTGATACAACTGCGGAGACGGCATGCAGCTACGCATCGTGCCATTGAACAATGCTGTGCCCAAATCAGTAGTATTGAGGTGTTTGTTTATTGCTTTCTATTTTATTGATTTGCACTGTCTTAGTATTGTTAGTATTTTTACTTAGTATTTATGTTGTGATCATAATTTTATTCTAGAAATGTTTGTTTTCATATTAAGCTTGACTTATTTCACTATAGTTTTGTAAGACAGTAACGTAACTAAAACTGAAATGAGTTAACTGCATATCTACATATTATGTTGTCATGTTATTCTGAAACATAACTCTTCTTTTTAGGATTGCCTCAATTCTTTGAAAGCAACGGAACGCGAAGAGAGTCTGCTACGCTTAGAACAGCTTAAGATGCAGCTAATGGAATTAGAGTCACAGTACGAAAAAAGCAAGCCTCTAGTTCAACTAGTAGATAATATGGTAAAATTAGGTTCTCTCTACAATAGACCAGGATCTACTATTGAACGCCTTGAGAGGAACCAAAGATTAAGACAAAAAGTCTTAGCTGAGCATGCACTTGAACAACAAAGGTAAAGTATGACCTTAATAAAGTACAAATCAAAAATAATTAAACGATTAACAATTATTGTTGGTTTTTTCAGATGGTTAGAAAGCGTTGCCGCCGGCAAGCCTTTAGAAACCGAAGCAGCAAGAGCTAGAGTGGCTGAACTATGGGCATTAGAACAAGAACTTGCTGATGAAGCTGCTATACTGCAAGGAATGAAATCTGATAAAGATGCAATCGAGAATTTACTTACTGGTATGTTATGTTTTTTAGTAAAAAATGGCACTATTAGTTAACGAACAAACCTACATACTATATAATATAACATTATATTGAATGTTATATTATATAGTATGTAGGTTTGAATGTAATATTGATTGATGGGTTTTTTTTCTCTCTGGGTCTCATTTTGACCTCCCGATAAGGAATTACTCCAGGGATGCATCAATTGTTATAGTATAATTCAAGTTCAAATACTTTATTTCAACATAGTCCATAGGGTTAGTACAAACAAAATAAGTTAAGTATAACGAGTATTACGCTAATATAATAAGCGCTACTTAAGTAAAGTCAAATTAATAGTCAAATATGATAAGGATGTTTTAATTAGTATCATGTAAAAGTCCAAAAATACAGTTTCAAAAAAGTAAAGCACATACAACTGTTTCAGGTGTTCGTGGCAAATTTATGAGACGTGAGGATATCCAAAATGGTGATCTATCAGTTGAAGTTAATTCTGCAATGATTCGCAGGACTCAACCAAATAACAATGGTAACGGAGGTGGTCTCGAAGCAGAGCTTTCCCGAGTGCAAGAAATGTTGGCACACAATTCTAAGGTTTATAAGGTTTTCGTCTATATCATGCACTATTATTTTCATTTATTTAATTAAGTACTTTAATATAAATTATGCAAATATTATTTTGCACGACTTATGACTTCTTTCATTGATTGTATTAAAAAATAATCTATAAATTTCTAATATAGTTATACGAAGCATGCTTATTTAAAAGCATAATGGCGATGCATGTTAAACTTGAGAGATATTTAGATTCTAATAATAAAAACTATAATTTTATTTTTATTACAGAAACTAGAACAGACGGTAGCAGATAATGCGCGTTTGGAGCGTGAATTACAGCAATTGCGAAGGGCATTACAAGCGCGAAGAGCTGCAGGACCCCACGCTCATCACACACAAGTCTCTAATCCTACCGCTATGCTTGAGGATGGTTCGTATTTACATATAACCTAAGGCCTTGCCCTAGATAAATTAAATTCATCAAGATTTTCGGAAATAGGTCTGTAAAACTCTCGTGTTTCTGATAGATTTTCATAATTCTCGTTGAATGTTCATTTCTTGTGCGTAACTTACTTCCGTCACATCTGCTTTTTTCTACCAGAATCTTTAGGGACATAGAGCTCAGTAAGATAAATACGTAATTAAATAAATGTATTTTGCAGAAGTGTCCCGCGTCCAACAACTAGTTTCTGCATTACAACGCCAGCGCCAAGAGCTCAGTCGCGCCGTCAGACATCTCACACAACAATCCCACGCGTTACAGACTACTCATGACTCTCTACCAGGTTAGTAAACTCAACTCTACAATCTATATCGATGAACTGAATGAAGTAGCAATCGACTCTGATATAAAAAGAGAATATATCAAAATATCTTTTGTTCAATAACCATCTTGCGATCGGCTACTTAAGACTAAATCATGCTTAAATATTGTTGTAGTGTCTGTATAAATTTGCAACATGTTGTTCCCTTTGCTTTTCCATCCATCCATTCCATCCTCCAGATGTTAAAATTGAATACCTGTGTAAAAACCTTACCTTTTCTGAAGTCGTTCATAAACATACATATAAATAAATACACTTGTCTTATCCACTTATAGGTAAACGCCGACCACTCTCTTCGTGGCAAGAAACCAACCTGGATACCGGCCACACGATTGATCACGGTCAATCAGATTATGACTATCGCGTTGGGCCGCTTTTACCACCTGGACATTACGAACCTATTAATGTTGGAACGCCTTTATATGTCGATACAAGAGTACCAGGAAACGACGTTACATCTCCGTTGGGTAGTGAGGACCTGCTACAAACTGGATTTAGTGAGTTTAATCTCATTTTCATAACTGAACTCATCATCACATTTTCTATGAACTCATAGAAAATTATATTGAATTTGAGAGATACTGCGTATTATTTTTTAGACTATTAACTAAAATTTCAAATTTTGACTTTCAGGTAACCTCACTAACGTTGAAAAACAAGAAATTAAAACCGTTCGCATTGTCAAGCGTGAAAGTGAAAGACGCCAAAGAGATAGAGAACGTTCCCTCCAACCAATGTCAGACTGGCCTTCTAATAATATTACCGCGAACCTCGATCAGTTCTTAGAGGAAGAACTTGTACAGTCCGTGCACTATTCAAGAGCGTCATCTTTACCAAGAGGCGATAAATATGAACATTATTATCCACAAGCAGAACAAAATTACTTACAACTCAACATGGATCTCAGCCCCAAATATGTTTCGAGTCCATCGCTATCAAACTATGATTACTCACAAAACAATTCTTCTCTCAGCAGCAGCTATAACAAAAGCTATGATAGATCTGGTTACGATAGAACAATTTCGCTATCTAATCAATACTTGAACAGTCCCACAGATAGTTCAAGAACATTGACAAACGATCCTTTATCAAAGACCAGTAGTGTAGTAAGTTTAACTAGGTCAAATATGGAATTATCTCCAATATTCAAGAGTGAAGCTGCTAAGCAGATTATAACCGAGATGTCAGGAGACACCCCAAAGAATGGGTCATTGCACAGAAGGCAAGTTCCTAAAGAGAAAAGGAGGCATTACACGGCACCACATCATCTTAGTGCCAAAACTTTAAATGACCTACCGAAAAATTCGTATAATCAAGATGTAAGTATTCCAATGTTTATTGTAACTTTTTGTGATAACATAAAACATTTTAAATTTATCCCTACAATATCTCATTAAAGAAGGTCGGACGTGCAGTAGACGATGCTGATATGGAGCGAGTACTTCGCGGGGCTGCCCCTGATGTGGTTCGATCGGCTTTGCCGCCTCAAGCGCTTCGTCTTGCTGATAATACCATAGATCAGCTGCTCGCTGCTCCACAAAAAATTCTTATCCCGGAGCGATATATACCTGAAAAGGTAAGTGAACGCTTCGAATATGTGATTTTGTATTCGAATAACAATAACAAAATTGTTATGTACTAAAGAAATAAATAAAAAAAACTTATGATCACAATTCCTAACAGCCACCAGAACTGTCTCCTGAAGAACAACAAAAACGACAAGAGAAAGTGGAATCAATCAAGAAAATGTTAACGGGCACATCAGCTGATCCCAGCAAGGTATTTTTTAATACTTTTTTATATAAATCTTCAATCTCAATCATATATGGATAGTTCTCCTGACAGTTCAACGCAATTAGAATTCTGATAGCATTTACCTAAGGAAAGAGTTAGGTCATTTTACATCATTAGCATTCATATTTTCAAATTATAGTTGATATTGATATTCGTAGTAATTTAGCTGAGTGCGACAGTTTCTAAATTATCTTCTAAGTTTAAAGCTATCGCTTTCTCATTGAATTTCCCCACAAATAATGGCATTACATAATCGAAATAATTTTTCATTTGTGTAGATATTGTACATCAAATGTACAATATCTACGCAAATACAAAAAAAAATACATACTAAAAAATATTATCATTCACTTTACATATATTGCACACTTTTCACTCGCTCTGCTTTCGATGTTGTTCTGAATGATGTTCTGTCTTTCTGCATGATCATTCTTAAAAGGTTACCAAATACATGTTACATTGAATATAAATTATTAATATTGTAGTGTTAACAGATAGAACAATTTACATTTACTAACGTGACTAAAATATTTTAGTGGTTATTTATATTATTATTAACCAATAAAACAAACTCTTTACTGTTCAAGACACATTTCAATAATTTGTTAAGGGTCGTTTTAAATCATTAAAGAAATAGTCCGCTTGGAGTTTGAATAAGTAAAATTCTATCTGTAGGCACTAAAAGCTTCTATAGCCGCTTCGAATGTTGGCTGTAAATATGTAAAACAGCATAGTCCTACATGTGTGTGCTTGTATGATGATCGTTAGAGTCCAGACGCTGGAGAAAAACGGCAACGGGAGCACTTGCTGCAAATGAACCAGATACTCGCCAAGCAGGTCACTGAGATGAGCAAAATCATCGCTGGTAAGGAAATCGACCCTTATAGTTTTGTTTGAGTGTATAATTATGAATCAAAGTTGCATAAAGCCAAGTTGCATTTACTTCATTCGTTGTTACTTTAACATATGATTTAGACTCCTTTAATTATTAATACACATCAGGGTTAAAGTCGTAAGTCTATGAAGTACCGAAATCTATAAACTAGTACTGAATGAATTATGGAATAAATTTTGAGTAAATATAACAATCCAGTACTCCTAGTATGAGTTTTATCGTTTACGTTTACTTTTTGCAAAATCTTTTTTTTTTAAAGTTATTTTAGGGTTGGGACAGACGCCGGGCAGAGCGGGACAACTACGCGGCATGAATGACGTCGTCGTTCCGCCCTGCTTGCTGTTTGACTTAGCCGTTGGACACCGTTCATAGCAATAAATATGTAGAATATAACCTAACCTACCCTAACATAGTTCATTATTAAAACTCATACAAGAGTTATGCACTTTTTGGTCTTTGTTATATTTAAGTAAATTAAATTCTTGCACTTCATAATTTATTTTAAAATGTTATAAACTTTTAATATACCTATTAAACCACTATATTTTTATCAAACTTATTCAAAAGTATGTACTATTACTTTGTATTCACAAATTTGTCCTTTGATATTTTTGACAACCCTGAATGTTTGATGTGTCTAACTATCACGTGTGTTCACGCCAGTAACAGTTTGCTTGATGTTGTTTGTCCCATTTTGTGCAGGAACCAATACTGAGCAAGGGCCGTCTGCATCCAACCACTGATTAGCCATACACGAACATTTGACACCACAAGCACATCATTTAACTTCTATTCTGTTCATCCACCTATAATCGTCTTTCAGATTTTTATGACATACATTTTAAGATAACCTTTCATATTTGACGTTAAACAAAAATTGTGTACACATCTTTTATCTTAATTTATCACTATCTTATTATATCTTAACATCTATACCGCTTGGAGTCCTCCGAAATAGTTAACGAGTGAGTACCTTGGCTATTCAGACGGTCCTTAGAAGATGCCTACTATCCAGTGTGTTGCAGCATGGTTTCGTTTAATGCATTTTGTTGTGAGTAGTTCACCTATTTAAGCTTTAATTTTAAACATTTTAGACGCATTATTTGTTCGCATTTTGAAGTTTGAATGATGATTTAATTAAATAAGAATATGTTAATTTATCAATTTTGATATGAGTTGTTTTTTTAACAGTGAAAGCGTTAGAAGAGTTACCCCAAAATGGAAATAGTGATGATTTGGACGATCGATCTCCGGACGTGGAACTACCGATCTATCAACAAAGAGACAATTTCTTTACATAAACTAAAAGTTTTAGTTATTTAGTTTGACCATTAATACTAAAACATTTAAATGTATCCATTCTGTGGAATGTATATATTGTTTTTGTAACTTTGTTCATTTAAACAATCATTCAATTAAGTTCTGGTACTTATGTAGGTATCTTTGGCTTAGTAATATTATCAACAATATGTCTTAGTACAACGTATAACCAAGCTGGGCTTTAAATATATTATAAGCGGTCAATGTAGGTTGTTCAATTACTATTAGAAATAAGGTAGATAATCAGTTTTTCCAAAACTGTTATACTAAAATATATATACTTACAATGAAATTAAAAAAATCCTTATAGAAAAATATATGAAAATACTTTTTACAAATAAGATAGAAAAAGGTAAACCCTATTAGAAACTTTACTGATGAGAAATGCTTGTCTTGGAATTTGACTACAAATTAAATTATACCTTACGACTATAGAAATAAAGATGTCGACTCCATGTTTATTGCGAACGAACAATATTTAGTATCACTACATCATAAAATAAGTACTTAATTTTAAAATGATGTATAATTTGTTGAATAAATTTAGATTTGCTGAATGCATATCACATTTCTAAATTATATCATATCCACTCATATAAGTGGTAGTTATTTTTATAACGGTTGCTCAATGTTGATGACATTCCTTATTTTGATAGGAATTCTGAATATTATCAGTTTATATCCATGTATTTGTGCACAAACAATATATTTTATTTCGTGACTGCACGCGTTACCATCATTAATAGAAACGAATTCATCTCAAACTTCAAAAGAAGAAAGAAGGTTCTTAATTTGGCAATTTTTTAAATGTTTGTTACCTCGACTCCGCCATTTATGATCAGATTTGGAATATAATTTTTTTATTTGAAAGAGTACGGGATGTATATACAAATAAAAAAGAATTTTTTTGGTCCTATTCAAATTTGAAGAAATATTCCAACCCTAAGGGTGAAAATTAAGGAATGAAGAATGCCGTTTAGTTTATCACGAATTAGGTTTATTACATTATACTTATTTCAAAGTTATGTATATTATTCATCACTAATCAATCACACCGTGGCAGCTTTAGTGTTGTGCTTATAAAAGATTATGATATCTAATACACGTCTTCTATGTAAAGGGCCTTCAATTGTTATTATAGATGTAAGATTAATAGTGAAATGTACCTAGATGATATTATTGTACACAGTTGCCATGTTTATTATTAGAATGTGCACTTTGACATTTAATTAGTGAAGAGAAACGAAGAACAATGCGTTTTAGTATTATTTCGTTTATTTTCTTTATTTTATAATGTAAATAATACACTTTGAGTAGTTTTATGTGTGTACCTACGGGGTTTTAAGTTTGTTGTACGGAAATATTTAGCCCGTCAATTACTTTTGTACTTAGTATTATATAGCTCGATAGTAGTAACGTTTTTTTAATCATTTAAAATAATAAATTGGTTTGTGATAGAGATCAAATAATAATAATAATTTACTTTGTACGTTTATTTTTAATAAATATTTATCACCCAATTAATTATATATATCCTTTATAGAGAAATACTAACAAAAAGTACATATAAATAATATAATAATTTGCAATTATAACATTTTTATAATCAGTTATTTACCTGAATTTGTTTTTTTTTTTCTAATTTAATAATTTGTCGTTTATTTTCGAATTTAAATATTATGCTTGTATTATTGTAACTTACACTTGCAATTCAGCACTTTACGGATAATCCTAGGTAGGTATTGGTTTAAATGTACATAGTAGAAATAGAAGCTTTAATACGCCTAACCATAATTTTGTCTGAAATTATAGCCGATATAATTAGTTTCCACCTAAATTTACTTTTTACGTCGTTTCTAATAATATGCTTCTGAATATTCAAATCAAAATAAAATTAGTGCCATTTCATACATTTCAGTATTTTAATAGTTTATCAGGGTATAGCCATTGACTCTAACATTAAAAGTATTGGTAAAATGTAATGTAGCCATAATTACCCTGCTTAAAAATTTAATACTATAAAACTTCCCATCAGTTATAAAGACTGAGTTTGTTTACATTTCTTATCTAATCCAAATAATGATTTCTACTGTCAATTATAAAATACTTTCTAGATGTATTCTTTATACAATATATACATATATCGTATATAAACAATCATCTACAATGTATTCAAGGATATTATGATATATTCTGTAGATCACCGAATGCATACCCATTTCCTTTACTGTATTTGCCCGAATTATTGTATTGTAGGAGGATTTGATAATCTCAATCAGATGGTTATCATTGTCAATTAGATGTTATACAATCAAGTAATTATCCTAATTATATTAAAGTTCCATTTAATCAGAACTCAAACTAAGATCGTGTGCAAATCGTATTTGAGATCAGTGTGGTGAACCGTTACCATCAATATGCTACGCAGACCTAAATAAAAAGGGATCATTCATGTAAACTTATCAGCATTTCATAATAAGTAGTTTTTATCGCCTTACTAGTATTGAGCGATAATATATATCGACTTGATTATTCAAAGTAATCACTAGGTATTTTGTAACATTAGAAATCTAGCTGCCTGTATCCTATGAGTGACTCTGTTAATTGTAGGTATGTACGTAGCTTATTTTTGAAATTTATTTGACTGAAATTATATTATACTGCAATAAGATAAGCCGAAGCAATAAATCTAAAGTGCAAAAACAGTACTATATTTAAGTTTCCAATAGTAATTTCGAATGAAATGTAATATCTAACTCTGTATTATTTGAGAAAACAAAACATGTTAAACCGAAGAAAAGTATACACCTACTCTATCTACGCAGTAAATATGAAAAAAGACAGAAGCATTGTCTAATTATTCCAATCCTATAATAAGTAAAATGCATAACTTGATGATGATACAAATGGAGTATTTCTGTTTAACATTTGTCAATAGTAAAGAACTAATTACTTGCTTCAGAAACTTATCAACAGAATCACTGGTACAGGAGTTAATGTTTTGACTGCCTTAAAATAGTTGTTGTGTGAACCTACAGGGAATTGTGCATATTATTTTATATTAACTCTAATAAACTTCAATTTTATATCGATCCTTGTAATTATAGTGCGCATGTTCACATCCAAAAATAAATACTATGCTATAAACTATGTAGTGGTTTCATTCATTTCCTTCATCAACAAGATTATTTGATGTACTACTTATTTAGGAAGATGGGTAAAGAGGGAAGGTAGGAATTGGATGATACATTAGAGTAAGCAATAGCTCAAGCATGATCGCATATCTGAGGGCCAATTGCGAGTTTATTTCACATCTACTCGATCGTCACGGTGACCGCGGTCGGCGCTGTGATTGGTGAAGAGTTCAGCGCGGGCCAGTCGCAAGCACTCACCGTGTCGATCGAATAGATGCGAAATTAACTCGCAATTGGTGTAATTCGAACGGGCTATCGCCATTGCTCCCAGAAGGTCCAAGCCCTCTAACCCTATAAATAACCTGCATTTTACGTGAAAGACCCTGTGTGCTAGAAAAATGCAAAACCCCATTAAAGTATTTGTATTCAGTGTGTCAGCTTTGTGTTATTGCATCGGGTATATTTTTCTGGTAAAGTCGATAGGTTTAGGCATTAACATAAAGGTAAACAACGAGAAGTCATTGACATATTAGTCAGATGCCTTTTGTTCTGTCATCAAATAAAGTTTAAAAAATATTACTTAATTGTTAGATTAGTAGTAGATTTAGTTTTAAAGTTTTGTAAGAACCTATAGCATGAATAATAAAAGTTATAAGTTATATATGACTGAGTAACTGAGTACACAGATGGCGTAGGTAGCGGTTTAAACATTCACTTCGCCGATTTCTACTGCACTGTGTGTTGTGGAATCGATCCTCACATGGGACAACACTGTGCAATCCACAATTTTTTATCTGAATCTGGGAGTTCTTCGTATCCGTTTCATGAAAGTTTGTACAGTGAACCGGTACACAGAATATATTCCTAGTGCGGGAAATGTCTCTAAAGAATAAAGAAAAGATCCCGAAGGCCAAACCCCCCTCCCCCCTACCCCTAACCGCCCTGCGGTGGTAGTCGCTTACGATCAAGGGACCGTCTGCGCGTTTGTCCCCTAGAATAAAAAAACATTGTCGTGTATTTATTGAGGATAAACGTTTTTACTCATGTATGTATTTTGGGGTTTCCGAATTGTATCGGACGCAACAGGGGTTTTTTCAATGATTGAAACATCCGTCCTCTATTCCAGACACGCGATGACAAAAAAACCTAAAGTACTAAAGAAGTCCAATAAGTCATAAAATGGGTATACCATAATACCCATTTTATTTATTGAAATATTTATTTCTAAATTACTTAATAGGCCCTTGGGTGAAGCCTATATCAGGCAGTGGACGTCTTTCAAATGAGAGATAACATGACTCGGCCGATTGTTAGTAATTTAAAATACCAGATTGGTCGACTTTAAGCGAAGCTGTAACTCTTCGCTGTGGCACATTGAAATTGCAATGATGAAATATGACAGGGACTTAAAACGTTATTCATATCGGAATTCATTAACGATACCATAACGTTATAATAGTATCGATACCTCAACAAACATAATGTTTCGATTTTTTGTATAACGTTTTACGAGTACCAAAACGAAACTATAACAGCAAGTATCGTATAAAATAACGTTATATTGGAAGGATAAATACACGATGTTGCCAAAGCAATTCATTCGCGCGAATTCGCGTGGCTCGGACCAGACGGGAGGTTCCCCGCACCGTACGTGCTTCAGAAGCGAGCTGGCAACGCTGTGGACTTGCAAATTTGAAAACATGCATTCTACACGTTTATACCTTCATTCGCATGGACATTTGTAAAGAAACATCAACCTGCAAGGTATTTTAAATAAACTTTTTAAATACTTTTTGCAGCAAAGTTCATAGTTTTCAATTTCATGATGAATTTAAAAGACAATATCA